TTTAAACACAAATAAACAAGGATGAAATTCTGAGTCTGCTGAAGTTAACAGAAGTGAAGACCAGTGGTAACAGTATTTCATTCTACAATTAGAAAACCTTCAGTCTCTATTACTGACAATATGTATTTACCCTGTTAAAAAACAATTTATAAAAAACAATTGACATTACTCTGCTTATCTTTTGCACTTAATAATAGACGCCTATCCTGAACGTATTTTAACCATTCAAACAGATCCTAAAGTGCCTTACAAGCTTGTACAGACTCAGAGAGCTCTACACCACAGATGAGAGGGCCCATACAACATCTTCTGGGCGTCTCAAGTCCTAGGCTTGCCTGCTGATATGAAACCCACAGACTGCACTGAGGCTTAGGCAGCATCATGCAGAAAAAACTGAGGATGGCTTTCTTTTCCCTTGAAATTAGGAATGGTACCATGCTAGAAGTGGTCATGACATCAAGGTTCACCTCCACCTGCAAAACCACTAAGAAATACTTAGTGACTGCTTGTGATCACAATCTTTCACTTACAATCTCAGCTCAGCCAAAGCAATGAAATTTGTTAGTTCCATCTTTGCCTTAGAGTAATTAGATTAGTTTCTTCTTTAGAGGGGGAAAAAAAAAGTCAAGCTCTAACCCAGTGAAAGCACAGGGGAATATTTAGTACCAGAACAACAACAGTGGCAAGCCTCCCTTGCTGATGTTATAATTACAGAAATGAATTAGAGGTATTCGACTTCTAAATATTCACATACATGAAGGTAGATACAGATTCTGGGATGATGTAAAGGATCACCCAAAATCTTCATAAAATACTAAGTCCTAGTAGTTGGGAAATTCAGACCAGCAGACTTTTTAAACATCTTAATAACAGAAGTACAAATAGCCTCTGTTCATACAGATCGATTCTTTCAGATAGATAGTGCTGAGGATCCCCACAGGACTGCGCCATGTATCGCTCTACTAGAGCTTCAAAACGTCCTGGCTATGCTAAGGCCAACTGTCTCCGTATGTTTCATAATGGATCATGAAGCCTGAAACACTGTAGCTGGTAGCAGTCAATAACTGACATGAAGGAGAAAAGTAAATCTGTCTTTAAACTCTGTAAACTCAAGCAGAAAGCCTGGCACACTACATGCACAGGAAGTATATGCCTTTCGCAGGTTTGAGTTTCCAACTTCTAAAATGTACCAGACACTTAAATCAGAAGAATCCACTTTCCACTCCAGAATCCCTCTGGAGAGGAAAGTGGAGGAAAAAAGAAGGAAAAAGATTTACCTTTCAGGAGGAAGGTTGTCAGTGTTGCTGCTATGCCGTCTCTGCATTTTCCTCAAAACCTTAAAACACAACACGCTGAACATTAACGTCGTGGGTCAACAATTCCCAGTGTGACTACTAACAAAGGCCCACAGAGTCAGAGGGCTGTGAAACCCATTCAGCTAGTGACATGGCTGGCAGAAATAATTTGCTTCTCTGAAAGAGCACCTCAACCTTGCATTTGTTTTTTAGTTCTCTTGCAAAGAAACAACTTTCAACTGGCAAATGGAAGCACACATAAACAGGTCTCCAAGCAGGGCAGGAATCGGTCAGATCCTCTTTTGCGGTACGTGGCAGTCACAAGGAGCTGTGTGATGACATGTTCTGATAAAGAACTTGAGGACAACTAACAGAGTAGCTCTTGATGTGACATGTGAATCGACATACGCTCTCTGGAAATGAAATCTCTTCTTCCTCTTCCACAGAAAGTTGCTTTGTAAAGCAGAACTGAGAGGGAGGAAAAAAAAAGAAAATGTATGAACATTTTTTATGAAAAAATACAATCAGGTCATGACAATATTCTTTTAAATAAGCCACCTATTCCTTTTAAACCACAAAAATTCCATTAGCAAACTCTGCACAATGGTCATAAATAATATGCACATATGCAAAAGATCACGTGTTCCTGCTCCACTCCTTCTGGAATTGCCAGCATAAATAAAGCAAGGTCTGGAGTGGAAAATGAAAAGGTATTGAAAATTGTATTAACTTCAGGAACTTCTTCTAGAACAAGGAGAGAAGTTCCTTATTTAGTTATTTAAATCTCTGCTTTCAAGTGTCTAATTTTAAGGGAACGACCGCAAACGCATTTTAAAAATAAAGCGAATTCAAAAGAAAAGAAGAACATAGAGTCATCACCATCATCATCAAGGCACAGCACACAGTACCTGGCAAGTAGTATTACACTGCTTAATGTTATATTAGTTACATAAAACCTGAGGAATGGGCTATTTTTGCAAGTGACTTGTCCAGGTTCCCACAGGCATTTCATAGAAGACTTAGAGAGACTTCCTCTAAATATTGAAGTCTGATCCTACTCAAACCTACTGACTCAGCTACTGACTAAAGTGTCAAAGGCTCTAAATACTTTTAACTATAAAAAGTTATAACATTATTTATAACATTTCATACTGTGTGAATATATGTAAATAAATGCATAGCCCTATATTTGTATTCTGTAAAGGCACAATGGCTCTGAGATCATTTCCTAGCTGTCTGTAACCAGAGGTGTGGAACCTGAGAAGTAGAAAACAGAGTATTTTTTCCCCCTATATGTTCACCTTTTCAGTCATATGCTTTACTTTCAGTGACCCACTAGCCCATGCAAAATTGCATTAAATTCTCATCCCAAATCCAAAACATAGCCTCACACTAGCTTCTGTGAAGAAAACCAGCTCTATCCTGGCTGAAACCAGGACAGTCCTACAGAGCTAAGATCAGATAGAATTTAAATGCACTTTGTTCCAAAAGGCACTCAGTTTCAATACTGATTGGTCCTGTCTTTTCTGGATCAGGTGTTTTTATCTTGCAACACTTGGACATTTTTTAACAGTACCTGAAGAACACAGAGGTGCAAGGTGCCACGGTGGGAGGTGGGAGCGAGGGAAGCTCAAGAGGGTGCAGATTTCTCATACAAGGAGTCCTTCAGATAATCCAAGATGGTCCAAATTTCAAACTCATCGCAGGTCCTGTAAGCTGGATGACTGTAAGGCACCTGGATCACAGTGCTCAAAGAGGCGCATCTGTAAGAAGCACATGCATAGAGTCATCTTCACCATAGCACAGTGAGTTTCACCTCTCCATCTCCTTGGGAAAGACAGAGAGGAGCAGGAACCCTGCTTCAACCCCTGCACACGTGCATGATCCAACAAGGCCGTTTTCCCCTGGGATTGGCACCTCAGCCCTGCTCACTGCACAGGCACTCCCCTGGGCACCTGCTGGGCCGTACTCTGCCTTCGTTGTGTATACACACACGCACGCGTGTGAGAGAGATAAATAAATATATACAGTAATGTATTTCTATATACACGGACATATATACAGACATAAATATAGTTATATACATACAGACATATATATGTATACACACAGAGATACACAGGTGAGGCCTTTTTTTTCCAATTAGGTCGGGGAAGGAGATTCCCGCTGGAGTAGGTGGCTAAACGCCGCAGCGGGACCAGCAGCAAGCC